GACACTGAGCTCTTGCCATCCTCTTTGGCAAACAAACCCCTGTTTAGATGGCTCAGCCAAGGCATTTCCCCTCCTCCTTGTCGACTGTTATTTACAGTATTTGAGTGTTAATTTAAAGGCTCAGCTCTTTGCTGCTGAGTGCTACACCTGCCCCTCTCTCTGTATCAGAAGCAGCAATAGTGGCTCTACGTCAGACCTGCACAAAGCCAGTCGTGTTCTTGTAGGGTTGAAGAGATACCTAGAGAGTAGGAAATACTACTGTGCTGCACTGGTCATCTCATTTCTACCTCCAGGTAAGGAAAGGTCATTGGTTTTCTTCTCCACCCCTACTTAGAGATTCAAATAACACTGTGAATAAAAACAAAGTTTCACAACCTCTTTACCACTCCATGTCCTGGTTCTGAGCTCGCTAAACCGATGAAAATATAGCATTAATTCTGAGGAGTTACTCTAGATTTTGCTGGAGTTCATTAAAACAGGCTATTTTTTCACTTATTCCGCTCACCTCACTGAGCTAAATTCTGTATTTGCTTACACCAGTGACCTTCAGTGCTTGCTAAACCAGTGGCACCACTGAAGTCACTCTACAATTGTGTTCATATCAGCACGTGAAACACTGACTTCAGTGGGACTTCAGTTAGATTTCATGCTTTTTGGGAAAGTAGCTGCGTGTTTGTGCTGCCTGGTTCTAGCTGAAGCAGGATGCCTGGACAGTCCTGTAAGGCAAATAACAAACTTCCTCCAGCAAAACCACAGAATTAGGCTTTACTTTTTAGCAGAAATGATTCCACCAGCACCTGTTGTTCAACACAAGCCACCTTTGTAGGCGTTTTCTTAGGTGCAATAAAGTCTGAAAACACAACCCTCCCCTCCATTCCCTGAAAACACAACCACTGGTGCTTAAGGGCTGAGTTCTGGTCTGCCAGATGTTGGCAAAGCGGAGGGAACCCCTGGGTTCCCCTGGAATGTCTCCCCGTTTCCCTGAAAGAGAACCATCTCCCTAAATGAGATCAGAATTTGGACTTGACTCCTTCATATAATAAAACGCCAACAGCTAGGTTCTCCTGCTTCTCCCACCCATCTAAATGGCCACGCATCCCTGGAAATGAAGTCCTGACCAATGTCAGCCAAAATACTGGGATCAAACTTGCAGTATTATCACTGTTTCACTAACCTTGAAATGGAAACTGCTGCCACTTTCGTGCACGGCCTGCAAGCTCGCCTAGTTTTCCTGTAACTTAATTCAGCATCCTCTCCATCATCCACCAAACTGCTGCTTAACACATTTTGGCAACGTGCCTCTCGGATATTGCAGCAGATACGGCTGGCAGTGCACGGAGCTTATCGCGGGGTATTAATTACTTGAGCATAAATAACATTCCCTCTTATCTCAGCTTCACGATCCGCTATTTTTGATGGAAATATATTCCTAATAACAAGTGAGAGCAAACAATGAGGGGGTAAATTCAAGCCTAAAAAAAAAAAAAAGCATTAGAAAGGTGTTTCCCAACTGTCCTGCCAACGAGTCGAAAAATAAAGAACGCGAAATGTTTTTGTTTGCTCAAAACCTCTCATTAATGACCGCAGGACAGAAACACACACCTGAAATTTCCTGCTTCTGCACTGCTGAGGGGTTACACGATGTGTTTTGTGTTGTGTCGTGCAGGGTTTAGCCGCACGGTGTTGGGAAATCCTTGGAACACGTAGGTTTGCCTGCCGGAAAGACAATGCGCACGCTTATGCCTGTACGAAGGCACCTGGACTCCCGATGGATAACAGAGTCCTCAGGTGGTGTTTTACAAAGCAGGATTCAGGTGAGTGAGCCTGTGTGGGGGTGTGTTTGTGAAAAACCACGTACACTTTGTGTACACCCACAACAGGGCTTGTTCCGAGAGCTGCGGCAGGAGAACACGAGTGTACGTTGGTGTGGATGGATATTGTTGGGAATTTTGCTTCTCTCTGGTACGTTTATAAGGCAGATGTAATCATTCAACGTTTTGAATGTGTATTTTTAGCCTGTTTGCTAAGTGCATTATGTAAATATGAATGGTTATTTGTGCATGAATAGTGTGTTTACAGGTTGTAAATGTTTCTTGTGGAGTATTCATTAATATTTTTGAAAGTACAGAGGCTGATGAGTGTATAATATGTATTAATGTGGGTGGACGTATCTATGTGAGCTGTTTCAACTCACATAAGAGATGCAGACTTGTATTTAAATGTTCATTACAGCAAAGAGTGGGTCTATTATGCTTTTAGTCCCATGGTTTATTGTCCTGCACATGCTTGGGGAATGGCAGGGAAAGTGATGTAATTTACAGAGATGACAATTCTGGAAGAGGAAGAAGCTCTCTCTTACTTTCAGAAAAGTTCAACACGCTCACTGAATTAAATCCCTCTTTGGGATACTTTTCAGGAAAAGGAGAACACAGGACAGTCCTGGGGCCTGCCAAGTTTCCTTTCCAAAGTCCACGCTTTGGAAAGTGTACGACTTGACTGCACATAACTGAACACCAGGCTACACAACTCAGAAATACAATTCCCCAACTTTGATATATCAAATGCAAGGTGCATTCAGCTCTGGAGGATATCCTCCTCCAGATCTGCTCAGCTTATTAAAACACACAGGAAGATGTTTCGAGGGCAACGAGAAGATGAAATAACTTTTTGGGTATTTGAAGATGGCTGGCTTCTCTCTGGAGGATAGCAGCCAGGAAGGAGAAGAAAGGTGCAGAGGCAACCTAGTGCCATCTTCCAAGCTATCTCTGGCATCACATAAGGGACCCACAAGCCCTCTCTCACGTTGAATTGAGATGGACAAGTCAGGTCGTTGGGTAGAGCTTATATAACATCTTTCCGAGGGGCTGAAATTGCCTCTGACTCGCACAGACCAGTTAGTTTTACTTCCCATTACTATCCCCTGCATTAGGAGTTCACTTCAGCTATGGAAGAAAAAAAAAATTCTGAAAAACAATTTCGACACATAATCATTTTGCAGAGGTAGGGTGAGAAGTGAGGGTCTCAGAAAAAGAACAAACTCTTCTAAGAGAACTCTCCCATTTTTCTCTTTCTTCCCTCTGTTCCTCTGTGGCTTAGAATGGAAAAAAAGAGGAAGCTGAGCAGAAAAACTAAAATCAGACCTTTTTGAAAAATACTGCTCTTTCCAAGCCTGCAAGACGCTTTCTAGAACTGACGAGGATTTCAACTGAAGTTACTTCACTTTGAAACCTACTGTATAACATGATGGAAATTCCCATATCCTGGAGGCCAGGCTGACTGCTGGCTCCTAACATGGCATTAAGTACAACGGAGTGATGTCATGTTCATTTTTCCACCTCTTTCAGAAAGAAACACAAATTTCTCTTTTACCTGCATTATAACATTAGGTCTCTAATGAAATAGTATCTCTGGTCCCTATAGATAGTATTCTCCTCTTTCTTTACGTGTCAATAGGACCATTGCTTTCTGTTTCCAGTTTCTTTGTACTAATATCAAGGGGCAAAAGCATATTTCAGATCCTTAGAGTGCAGCTCAGCCTACCCCTACTATGATGGATGTTTATCTCACAGATATACATCAAGTCCATCCTATATGGAAAACAATCCTTGCATATTACATATTCTTCATTATGCAGTAGTAGTAACGCAATGTAAAAGAAGTAATTCTGCAGGTATCTCTTTTTTCCACCAAATTTTGGGGGGTAAGGGAAGAGATTTTCCTCGACAAGGCCATTTATTTACTTTGTTGTTCAAATTTGTGGAAATTTGTCATCTCACAGATGAGTTTTCTTCACGCCTTTTTCTGGACGTGACAATCCTCTTTGGGGAACTATGGTTTTATGCCTGCCTCTTCATGAAGACCAAAATTGTTAACTCAGTTTGGTGCTTCACAGGAACAGTGATCTTAATTGAGCTGCAGGACGAAGCACACCTAAACACTGGAAGTTACTGGCAGAGTAGCATTAGACCTCCAGAGATGTTATTGTTTGCCACTGGTGGAAGTGGGGAACTGATCCTGATTTTGGACACCAACTAAGGTGCTTGCACTAGCCTGACCAGATGGTTTCATGTTCCCATTAGCTATAGCAACATGAGCATCTAAACCTTTATTTTAAATAGGTACTTTACAGAAGAGCTGAAAATTCTCCAAACTGCTACTTACCTACTCCAGGGACTCTGTCTGAAATTCCAGAACGTTTCAAACTCTCAAATAGCTACTTACTTTGTTTTAAATCATCAACTTGAATTGAAACTGGGACATCCAGGCCAAGAATACCCCTTCACTGGGGCAAGATCTAAACTTTCTCTAACCATGGAGAGCCTATGCAATGTGTCAGGGATTCCATGAAAAGAGTACACAAAGATAGCACTTCATTTTGAGAAGACAGTCAAAAATAGTGCAAAAACAGACCAAAGGTTTGCAGAGAAAGTTGTCCTGTTAATATCAGGGATTTTTCAGGAAACAAATCACAATGACTGTGATCCAGGAGGAAAACGCTAAAAACTACTTGTAAAATCCATGAAGGCAAACACTTCACTACATAGAGCTTTTTTCCTCTTCTTTTAATTTAGCAGTAACAATGTCTACAATACATTGACTCACAAATTAAGTGAAGGTATGAAACCACATTCTTCATACTGAGATAGGACATTCTGGACTTTTACTTTTTAAATACCCTCTCACGGGGGAAAGGGTTTTGAACATCCAATGAACATCTTTTGAAACAACCAGTGGTGGGAATTTCAGTTTTAACAGTGATCAAAGTTAGTGAGCCTTGTCCACAGAGATTAAAATGCTTTGCAAACGAGTGCAAAGCTCAGAATCTCACTATACAGATAAAAGGGAAGGGAAACTGAGGCACAGTGCTGTTCAGTGACTTGCCAGAATCAAGCAGCAGAGATCTGGACATAAATCTCAGCTCTCTGACTCCTGATCAATCCCTCACTCATCAGGCCACAGTCTCCCAGTATGTGAGTGTCTACTGTCCAGCAGCTCGTGTGTTATACAGGCATATCTTCTTTCACCTCTCCCGCTGTCCCGTTGGCTCCATTCAATCCTGCTGGCTCCCTGCCTCCTTCCTCTTCTTCTTCCTCCCCTTTTGCTGGCTCCGCTTCTCTGCCTCCGCTCAGGAGGGTGGCACTGGGGAGGTGGCTGAGGAGTTGGCCCTCCCGGCGAGACTCGGCCAGCTCTTTGGCACAGCACACAGGAGTGTTGGTCTCGTAAGTGCTATGGAAGCTGTTATAGTCAACTTCGTAAAAATCCTTCTCCAGGGTGAGGACAGGAGTGAAACGATGTCCCCACAGCACCTCGGTGTCCATGTAGGAGCTGCGAGCCTGGCAAGTCATCCCTGGGTGGAAACAGAGGGGTGTTAAACGCAAAGCTGCCTTACATGCTCACCCAACCACTTCTTGCATTTAAAAGCACTTTCATGTTGTCTCCATACCTGATTGCTCTGGGACACAGAAAAGGTCTTCGCTTAATAAGCCTCACAAAAGCCTTTATCATGAAAAAGCTGAGCACTCAAAGGAAAAGGGATGGATTCATCGTCGCATCTTCAGACTGTTTCCTGAACCTCGTGCTTACAGGTTGGAAGTCTGGTACCACTAAGCAGCTTCTCTCTGTCCTTACAGCACACCTGGTGAACCGTGCTAGAACGACATGCAACCCTGCCAATGCTCCTCATGGGTTGGTGGGTCAGGATTTGAGGATTTTGATGCCCTGCCTGGCGCTCCCACTGTGAATGACCCCATCCCTCTTCACCTACAACTCCCTCCTGCACTTAGGTTAAGACACCAAGACGTATAGCCCGAGAGGTGGAGAGGGCCACAACTCCTAAGGATTTATACAGTAAGCTGGTTTTTAAATACCTTTGGAGGGTTCAATCCAACTGTTGGGTTGGCAGAACCAAAACCCACAACACCATGATCATAAGCATATTGAATTCCATGTATTAATGGGTTGTGGATTGAATGAACCGTAGGCAGTATGAAACCAGTACTTGTCAAGCTGTTTCTCAGCCCCAAGGATCAGAGTTTATCTATTTACTTTGGAAAAGTTTACAGAGAAGCTTTGCAGATCAGGGATAAGCGTTCAACATTGGCATAACCCTGGCAGTGTTCAAGGCCAGGTTGGATGAGGCTTTGGGCAACCTGGTGTAGTGGAGGGTGTCCCTGCCCATGGCAGGGGGGTTGGAACTGGATGGTCTTTAAGGTCCCTTCCAACACAAACCATTCCATGATTCTATAACTGTGAACAAATTCCCTTGGAATCACCTGCCAATGTGAAGGTGACCTCTTTTCCAAATGTTTGTCTTCTGCTTGTCCGAATTATGTTATGATTTTGGAATTAATCTCGGTGAAATTTGGAAAACCGGACCTCACAAAGTCCTTCCACTGTTCTCTTTTGGAGGATGAGGGATAGACCTGACTGGAATACATTCAAAACGTGCACTTGATCCCATTCCTGGCCAATACTTTCAAGTTTAACTCCTGAAGCCCAAAAGTACACAAACAGAAATCTAAAGCAATGCACTGGAGGAAAAATATCAGTGTCAGACGCTTCAGGGAAGAGCATATCGTGTATTCTCACCACGAGAGCTTAACTGACTGAAACCTGAGAGTAATCAGAAAACTCCTTTGCTTAAAAAAAGAGAAGGCACGTCTGCGAAAAGAGGAATATTTTGTTCTCATCATTGCTACAGTCCATTAAAAGACACCCACAGAAGCAAGTTCTCTGGGAAGCTTTGCTTGTCTCTGACTGCTTTTCTTGGTTTAAAGCTGTCAGGCCAGGGGTATATTAGTTGCTTTTGGTTCTTGAAAGGGGAGAAGAGAGGCAGTAACACATGCAACACAGAGGAACTTCCAATTCTGTATCACACAGACTGAAAAGCCATTTTTTCCCCTCCAAGAAGATCTGCAGGAGTATTTGCTTCTGGGCAGGAACAACAAGTACAGAGTTAGTCATAGTGTTCTTAGCGTGCCTGCTTCCTGGCCCGGGAGGAACCGGGAAGCACAGAAGCTGCTATGAAAAATGCAATAATGGAAGAAAAAAATTACCCCAAGTGCTTTTTGCCTCAAGAAGAAGCTCTGTGGTGGTACAGCACCTTTTCAGGAAACTATAGACTTTTGCTTTACAAGTGAAAAGCAGCGTGGAGACCACTCCTGACTATATGGTGATGTGCAGCATCACCTGCCCTGGAGATGCTCCACCTGCTCCTCAGTCCTTGAGGTGAGGACTGGTTGATCTTCACTCCCTTTTAGCAGCCAGCAAAGAACAGCTCAACACACGGGCAGCTCATGGGATCCTGCTAATTTCTGAGTCCTTCTACAGTTTTTCTCAGGAGAGCTGTGTCACTGACGACTTCCCTGGGCCAGGGCTTTTATTGCAGGCTGTTCTGAGGGTCAGCATTGCAGGGCTAATCCCATTTTCTGACGCTCCCTCATGCTGGGAGGCCAGAACACAAGCAACCAGCAGCGTATGTGTATGGTAAGGAGGCAGTTAAAATAAAATAGCCCTTTTCCCTTTCGACTGAGCTGGTTTTGCACCAGAAATCTCAAGTGCCTCCTCCAAGCTCTGAGCACTGTCAAAGCCCAGCAGAGAGCAGGAGAGGAGACGGCTCAGCCTTGCAGGATTCGGTCCTGGGAATGAACCGGCTGATGCTTCTCGTGGTCCTCCAAGTGCTGCACAAATGTGTCCTGTGGAAGTCCCCAAGGCCAAGATGGGGTGTGCCCCTGCTAAATGTGGGGGCCTGAGGCATCCTAACGGAACTCCTGCTTTATAATCCAGGCCTGAAATAGCTCCTTCCCTGAGGGGCGTACCTGATAGTGAACCTGAGCTCCAGAGACACAATCATAGCCATCTCCTGCTGTAAGTATTCAATTAAGGAAGGAACAATAGAAAGCTTTCAGCAACCAAACACTGCACACTGCCAGCTTCCTGCAGTAGCTGCTTTCTGTAACCCCAGGGGTACACAGAGCCAGCACAATAAGACAACTTGTAATTGCTCCATAATCCCATTCAAATATTCCTTTTTAGCACATGTGCAGTGGTGTTTTAATTGCGTGGGGACATACTGCTTGGCAACTCCTACATCACCCAGTAAACAACAGCATTGTCTCTGCTTCGAATTCCATTAAGTGCCTGCTTTGCAGGCTGCCCTGTGCTCTCCAGCCTGGTTAATTAATGCATCTGTAATGTCCCTAGCTAATTAGTGCCTCTGTAACTGCAAGAAGATGACTGAAGAGGTGCAGAAACAACAAACCTTGCTTTTATTAAGAACACACAGATGCAGCCCATTTCCACTTGCACACAACGTGCCCTCTGTGCATGAACATCTACTTTGCAGCTTGCAGTGGGATGGAGAAACTCTCCAGACCAAGATCTTTCACACGTGGCTGTGGGGTCTCTGCAGAAATCAGCGGTTTCATTTCATAAGCTTTGCTTATCCGAGGCCATGGGACATCTTGGGTGTAGGAAGTCGCTGTGCCACGTGCTCATACCCATCAAGAACCACACCAACTTTGCCACTGCTGTTCTACCTCAGTGTAGTAGCACTGCCTTGCACAACTCTACTGCAGCTGCCTGAAGCACTGACGTCTCGGAGAGGACGAGAGATTGAGGGAGATGTCAAACTCTCGGAATTTCTTGCAAAAATCATCATCATTTATGGCCCTGATAAAGGCTGTTAAGCCTTTCCTTAAAGTAGGTATAACTACCCATTTTGGGTTTAAATGGTACAGATATTTGGTGCAGTTGTAGAGAAATGGTATTTGGTGACTTAGGCATCTCGTTTAAACAAGCTTCATGCCAAAAGAATATCCTCATTTCCCCTTTGTCAGCCTAAGTAGATGTATTTCAAAACTTGTCTAAAAATAAAGTCATAGAGATATTTATTTTTCAAGTGTATCATATTTTTCCGGGTAGCAAGACCATTAGAAGTTTAATTTTCTCCTAAACCATCTGGTTTAAAAATGAAAAAGTATGTTTAATATAAATTTGTACAATCTGTCAACTGTGGAAAATGTGAAACGATATGTGAAATCTTCAGCTTTCAAGTTTTAGTTACAGCTTTCTCATCTCTTAATTCAGCAGCTTAGCTTTCAGTCGCAAACAAAACTCAGTTTTAATTGAAAACAGAAAAAAGTTTGTACACAGTTATAAGCAGATGCTCCAAATTTTCAACAAAACTGAAACCAGTTCCAGGCTTTTTAGAAAGCTGGAGACCAGAGGACTGTCTCCTGGTTTCAAGTTCTGCAATAAACATTTCATAGAGTTTTAATGATAATTTCATTACAGTAGAATCCTAAGAAGTGGATTTTCTGTCTGTTGGCTGGAGTCACAGGATCAATAACAGAGTTTGTGCATGTTCCTGTTTAAGGCAGCCGGAGAAGCCTTCCTAAACAGCTCATTTCTGGTTTCCAGTAGATGAAAAGATGCAAAATATATTGCTGTGTGTATTAAAGCAGGTGTTTCATTACGTTTGAGAACAGAGACTCACCGAGGAAAGACTGGTGTGTGTAAAAGAGGTGTCAGGGAACTCTACCAATAAGGCACTTTTCTGTCATCAAAATCAGTCGGGATCACACCACTCACAGTTTATCAAAGACAAAGGAACGTTCACCCGTGCTGACAAAAAGCAGTTATTTGATGGCTCGCTCCGTGGAGCTCGTTTTTCTGCAGCGTGCTCAACGGGAGCTGCAGATTTCAGAACGTTTCTCTGCTTGCAACGCCGCTGATTATGCAACTGGAGCGGACGTGTCTGGCTTTGGCACAACTGCTCCCCGTTTCCAGGTCTCCTGTACCCTTAGGTTGCCAGTTAGAATCAAACTTCGTTATCACAGGCCAAATCTACCTGCTTTTGCAGCTGTTTGGTCACCCAGAGATGAACCAGCAGTCTCTCTCCAGCTGTTGGAGGATGAATATTTTCAGCAAACATAGCATCATAGCCATAGATTCATAGATTTCTAGGTTGGAAAAGACCTTAGAGATCATCCAGTCCAACCATCCCTAATCCCCCATTAAACCATATCCCTAAGTAGTTCATCAGTACCTTTACTGGTAGTTTATCAGCAGAGGGCAAGGGGACCACAAAACATGACCTACTCAACCCAAGGAATTGCCACAGGCTTCAATTTGATCACATCAAGAGCATAGCTGAATCTTTCAGTGCTGCTACACGGCCTGAACTTTCTCAGTGGGTAGAGATATCCCAACCCCTGGGGCTGTCAAGACAACATTTTTCATCAGCCTAAAATTAACTCTCCTCGTGTAAATGCCACGGAGCTCAGTGATTATCTGCTGGCACAACGTCATGTGGATGCTGACCGTATGTTTGCCATATTTGCTAGG